ATACATCAGTTAATGTAACACCTATGATTCTGCCAAAGAAACCTAGAGTAATCTCTTCATTAAACCATTAAACACTATATTTGCTCAACATCGTTTGGCAACAAGTCGATAGAAATCAGGTTAATCATTTGATGATTATATTAAAGCACTAAAAATACTTGCCAAAGATTGTAACTTTAAAGCAGTTACTGCATTACAATTCCAAGAGGAAGCAATTCGTGACTCCTTTATCAGTGGTATAATTTCTAATGAAATCCAACAACGACTTTTCAAAAATAGAGGCATGACATTAGAGGTTATGCTTGACAAAGCTAGTGTAATACATTTCAAAGCAAAATAACACTAACTAAAGAGCTGCATCTATCTTAAGACCAACATTAGCAACTACTACTAGTAGTATAAATTCAATTTTTCAAAAGTCTAATTTTAATATCACAATCAATAAACATTCAATAAAAGCTCTTATTGAGAGTGGAAGCTCTGATAGTTTTATTCACCCTAAACTAATCAACCAAATCTCTCTCAAAGTATTATCAACTCACAACTCAGTTCAAATGGAATCAACTTTGTCAACCCCTATTGTTGGGACTTGTTGACATGAAAATTTATGACTTAAACTAAACCAATGTAAGACCACGTGGACAATTTGTGTGCTGATATTATTCTTAGTATTGATTTCCCGTCCCAGCACAAAAGTGTAATCCCTAATTTTTGTGGAGTGAGAGCACTTCTTGCATTTGGACTTTAAACACATTAGATAAACACATTAAATGTAAAGCCTCTCAATCTGTTCGAAAACCTGTTATCTGACTATAAACTAACAGCCTCAAAATCTCGCCTCTGCAGTGCTGAAGACAGAAAATTTATTAGCTCTGAAATACAACGCCTTTACAAAGAAATAATTATTGAACCTTTTACATCACTATGGAGATCACAAGTCATTGTAACAAGAAATAAGAGATCAAAAAAGCGCCTAGTCATAAACTATAGTCAAACTATCAATGGTTTTACTTGTCTTGATGCCTACCCTCTACCACGAGTAGTTAAACTTGTAAACAAAATTTTGCAGTTAATACTTTAGCACCATTATTTTCAAATCAGCCTATCAGCAGATCCCAATTAAACAAGAATATTGTCTGTATACTGCACCTAAACTGACAGAGGTTTACATCAGTTTACGCGTATGCTTTTTAGTATGACAAAAGGAGTAACTCAATTTCAAAAAACAGCGGACAATTTTATTGCTGATAAGATATTGAAAGACACTTTTGCTTATCTTGATAATTTGACAATCCGTGAAAAGACGCAAAAGGATCATGAATACAACCCTAAAATGTTTCCTTTTAGCTGCTAAATTCAAAGAATTTAACATACAACAACAAAAAATGTGAAAAAATTAAGACCACTACTAATAAAACTCCTCATGTAGAACTCTTTACGTATCAAAGACTGATACGTAAAAAGACTTTTGGTGGAGAATGTCATGAAATTGATCATTATTATTATTGTTTTATAATATTTCTTTTCATTGTTTTAGGTAATAAAAAGTTAAAAAGAAATAATGTAGTTATTATCATTTATTCTTCGAGTCCACAACAAGCTAAAACAATCTTTTGAACAATTTTACGCAGAATAATAACTACTTAATTTAATTTAAGAAGCCAGATTATTGTAGGTTAAATATTTGGCTTGAAATATTCAACAAAAAACAACAGGTTTAATGCAATGTTTTATCGCGTCCCGTAAGTAACATAGCATATAATTAAATATAATTTCTAAGGTTCTAATAATAGAACTAAATTTCAACATACAGGAAAACAAATAAATGATTTTGGAATGATTCATAAATAAACATCTAATCTGTTAAAAATTAAAAAATATATAATAAAATGTTACATTACAAAAATCAAAATGTCCCGTAAGTAAGAGTGGAATTGCTCACCAACATTTAACACCAACATATTGTTAAAAGAACAGAGTAATAAATTAATAGAAATTATGGATAGTAGTATTCGATATACATATATATCGAATAGTAATATATCGATTGAAATATTCAATATACATATATATCAAATGTATAAATATTTAAAAATGCTTAATATATATATAATGCTACTGTTATTATATTTATATCAATACTAATTAACATATTTAAAAACAAACACTTTTGGAAAACATCATATTGAAATGTTTTTTCCGTAACTCGTATAAGTTGTTCCAAGGGAGTTAAAATATTATGGGGAGTTTATTTGTTTCGCCAACTGGGATTAATTTATTTCAAGGGGAGTTAATCTATTTCGAAATAGATTCTTTCCCCGCATACTTTTTTACGCTATGGGAGTTAATTTATTTCATGACACTGGCTTTCAATACAAAAACTTAAAATAAAAACAAATATAGCAGATTATATGGAACTGTGAAAATAAAACGAGCTTATTGGACTGTTGCCGTAATCCAATCATTCCCTTATACAATTTATTTCTAGCGTACAGCTGACCATATGAGTAAAGACGCAATGTTAAATTCTTTTCTATAATTTTTTTTAAAAGCTGTGAAGAACGCATGTCTTTAGTCAATATCTCATGTTATAAATCGTACATATTTAATTCAGGAAACAGTACATCATTTGCAAGTTGTTGATTTATGAATTGCACCATCAACATTTTAAGATTATTTCTGGAAAATATTTCCAGATTGTATGGATCTGTTCCACACACCAAAACTTTACAAACGTGCTTACATTTATCAACAATCTTAAAGACACTATAGGATGGAAATATTAAACCACCACGAGTTTTAAAAGCTATAAAACTTTTTTTTTTTGTAAACTGCGAAATATAGAGTAATGAGAATAATTTTTATAACATTTGTAACAAGACAACTTATATCTGTTGCTGAAATTTTGTCACATAGTACATAGCCTATACGACATTTCCAATTACCTTTTATACCTACTGCCATAAAAACAAATAATTCTGTTGCTACTTTATCTCGGTCAGATGCTAGAATTTCCTAAATTCGCAAAATCTTCATATGATCCAGTAATATTATCATATCGCAGAGCAGCCCTGATATGAATAGAATCAAATATTAATGCACAATCTTTGTATAATGAAGATTTTGCTATTAAAAAAAGTAGATTTCGTTAATAAAAATGCAGCGTTAAAGCAAATTTTTTAATTTCTTCAGAATATCTATGGCCTATTTTAGCAACATTATTGGAAATTATATATATATATTTTTTTCCTAATTTTTTAACTACTCTGCTTAAAGAATCAATTTCTTCTTCTTTCGTTTAAGCTATTGTTTCAAAGTTTTGATTTTTTTAAGCAAAATTTTTCGTGGAAAACTTTGTTTAGGTAATTTTTGGTATATTGCATTGTAGTTATAACCTCTGTTAACTCTTTATTTAAGATATGGGTTTTTTAGTGTTTGCTTAATCATCATTGTATAGTTGATTCCAGTTGTTAGCTCTCTTACTTTTCATCATCACAACAAATGCAAAAATTGAAGGTACAATATCTTTTTTTACCTGTTTTCCGTTTTCTTTGTAATGTATGTATGTATGTATGTATGTATGTATGTATGTATGTATGTATGTATGTATGTATGTATGTATGTATGTATGTATGTATGTATGTATGTATGTATGTATGTATGTATGTATGTATGTAAGTATGTATGTATGTATGTATGTATTTATGTATGTATGTATGTATGTATGTGTGTATGTATGTATGCATGTATTTACAGGGTTCCACTTTTAAAACTGAGGCTGAATATAAGGATTTTAAGGAGACTTAAGGAGATATTTTCCTAATATTTAATATTTTTTCCTAAATTTGGTCACAAACGACACTTTTTAAAAAAAAAAAGTAAGGAGAATTAAGGAGAAAACATTAGAAACAGAATCTTTTTGTTTTCAATAAATTTTAAATATAAACAGAAAAATTTTGTAAATTAATATATTACTTATATATTATACAATTTCTATTCAATAATATTATACAATTTCTATTCAATAATATTATACAATTTCTATTCAAATTGATAAAAAATATTTTTTTGTTTGCTATTTTAATATTTTTACGGTTCCGCCATTTTGGCTGGCAAACAAATCTGGCTGGCAAAAAAGTTTGCTTTACAACGGAGGCGCAAGTTACATATCTAGGAAATATATATCTCATTAGTCTAACTTCCGAGCATGGCCGCCGAGAGCTGTCTCTCTGAGGTGCCACCTGGGACAGAAATCCTGATTGGCGCTCTTACTTATCAAATTTTCCCCATATTGTATATAAAGGAACTTTTTTTTTTAAGGTACCTACATTATATTTGGCCCCCCTTGAATATCTGCCGCCCGGGACAAACTGTCCCTCGCGACCTCCCTCTCGGCGGCACTGCTTCCGAGTATATTTTGAACTCATTATGAGGGCAAATTTATAAAATAGTAAATCACGTTTGTTTGGATCAAATAATACTGAATATTCTAATTTTATAAATCATGGTTAATTCTTGTGTTGTATTAGGTTGCACAAATAGAACAATCAAAATTAAAAGCAAAAAAAGAAAATTCTTAAACAAAAGTTGTGAAGAAAAGAAAAAAAAGTAAATTCATTAAAAGTTATGCCAAAAAATCAAAGCAAAAAAAAATGTATCAAAAGATACTGCTAATGTTCTTTGTGAAAGCTTTAGTGGGTAACTTTTGATATTATAAAAAATCACTTTAAACAATACTTCACTTCCAAGAGGGCATAGGTACACTGATGAAATTAAAAAGTTTGCAATAAGATTTTTATTTGCCCAAAGCAATTTACAATTTTCTACGTTCAATACTCTATATACCTGCTTCAAGGTCCTCAATTATTTTGGTAACTTACCCAAGGTAATTTAATAATGGTACTACCATAATTCCATGACATGGAAATATTAACGCACAATTTTTGTAGTTAATGCCTCTGCCTTTATACTAATATAACTTGAAACATCTTTTAAAAAAGGTTCACAATCTACAGAAGTTGTCCAGTTAGCTAGAGAGCTTGAAACAGGTAAATGGAGTAAATTATATGCTTTAGGCTTACAGTTACATCTTCAGACACATTTTTTTTTTACACTTTTGATTGCCATATTGACAATAAAAACATCAGTTTTAAACAATAAAAAGACAGGTCGATTGGTTTTATTTAAACGATAAAAAAATATTGGCTTTACAGATTATGGAAAAGATATTGTTGCAATTGAACAAGACACACCAGCTACAGTAAGCATTGGAAAACACCTATTTGCTATAAACTGTGTTGTAAAATAACAACCGAACCCTCTTTCATGTCTTATTAAAAAAGTATTAACAGTTTATTCTGATAAAATAAAAAAAAATGTAAGTAGCATTACATTTTGTAAATGTCAACTTTAATTCTGTTGTATCATTAGGATGTACATTTGGGAAAAGACTAGAAAAAAATAATGGAAAATTTTCTTTATGAAAGCTATAATCACTACTTTTATGTAATCCATGACCCAAGTCATATGCTAAAATAAGCTAGAAATGCGTAATGTGATTTATAGGTACTTAAGGATTGTAATGGAAAATACATTAAATGGAGTTATATAAGAGCTCTATATGAAATATAAGAAAAGGAAGTATTGAAATTTGCAAAAAAATCTCAATAAAACATATTTATAAGGGCCGACAACACGGGGAGGGGGGGGCCAGGGGCATTTGCCTTTCCCCCCCCCTCCCCTCTCCAAATATCGAGCGTGCTGGAAGAATTATAAACTTTAAAATTGTAATTTATTCAAATTGTTCGATATGCTGAACTCTAAAAAACTTTATTCAAAATCATATAAGAAAGCTCTTTTTTGAAATGACTATCTATATTGGAATGCAACTTTTGATCAAAAAATAAACTACTTATCCAAGTTGACAGATGCTAATGGTACTCCATTATTAAAACTTAGAAAAAAGACCTTTGTATTAGGGTTAGTTCTGGCTGCAAAAAGTCTTCAACACTTAGTCTAAGAGCTTTTAACTTTAAATGTTCATCCTTTTAAATTTTGTTTAACACCAGATATATATCCTAGCATTGCTTATTTGTTGATAGAAGTCTTATCAAGATAATTTTGAGTTGTAACAATATCAATATCAAAGTTTGAAAAATCTGTTTAAGGACTTGAATAAATGGCAGATTTTTTTTTCACAACAATGCAAAAATAGAGCCGTTTGCAATATCCTCAAATGTTACACAATTAGCATGTTTTGAGACTCCAATAGAATTGTGTAAAAGAATTCTTTTTAAAGATGACTTAAGTTGGATAACATCTAGATTGCTATTAAATCCATTCATTCCATGAATACAAGAGAGCAGTAACTCAAGATGATCTTGTTTTATATCCTAGTATATGGATTTATTGTAAGAAGATTATTATCAAAGATAACATGTTCTGTGTGCGCAAACTCACTTATATCCCAAAACAGTTTTGTGAAACATTCTTATGGAACATCAGTTCTTTCATTGATTGACGTAAAAAATAAGGGTGGACTTATTGCTCCAAGAAATGATGTTATTTAAACTATAATAGTATGCAAGAGCGTTTTTAAAATTTATGTCAGCGGTGACGATTTCAAAAACCGAAAATGAATGTGGAGCAAAACCTTAAGATGATAATGAAGTTTATGCAGTTATTAAAATTATTAGTGAAAAACATTTTTTAAAGACCTGAATGAACACGATGCGGAGCATGAAGCTATCACTGAAGACATGCATTCCACACAACTAATAAAAATGTTATGCAACATACTTTATATTAATTATGAATGCAATCTTACCTAGTTTGTAGCATTTTCAACTCTCTACAAAACTTGTTTTATTTTAAATTAAAATAATTTATTGTTACAGAGAAAAAAGAAAAAAAAAAAAAAGCTTGTTGAGAGCGTTTGTACAGCTTCTATTTGAAAAATTGATCTAAAGAGAAAAGTTTACAGTTTATCACTTTCTTGCTGAAAAATTTTTTATTAACACTATCTATACCATTATTTGACGCGCTGAAAATAATTCTGGGCACCAGAGAGTCCCTAGAATTGCTAAAATAATGACAAAAAGAAACATCGAAAGGCTTAAAACAATGTTTGTCCACAAAGACGGCGTAACGCAAACACAAGCAGCTTAGAAATTTAAGTGCATTAAAAACTTGTGATCAAATAGAGACAGTCAAATTCAACCCTACTGCAAAATATGAAAAGAAATTAATATTTTAGATTTGCTTTTCCCATAAAAGAATATCTTCGCCAATATTCAGAGAAAGCAGCTTTGCAATTAACCAGGAACTCTACAAAAAGGTTTGTATAAAGAACAAACTAATTCCATTTATCAAAAATCATCATTCTGATGGTGAATACTTATTTTGGCCTGATCTGGCATTGTTTCATTACGCAAAATCTGTAAAAAACAACACGAATGAGAAAAAGATCATTTTTGACCAAAAAGAAGATAACTCTGCAAATGTGCCTAAAGAAGATTCTTCCTGATAAAGCTACTGATGGAGAAACAAGCTGTCAAAGAATAAAAACTAGATAAGTGTTTTTACTAGTATATATATATATATATATATATATATATATATATATATATATATATATATATATATATATATATATATATATATATATGTGTGTATATATATATATATATATATATATATATATATATATATATATATATATATATATATATATATATATATATATATATATATATAATATATATATATATATATATATATATATATATATATATATATATATATATATATATATATATATATATATATATATATATATATATATATATATATATATATATATATATACATATATATATGAAAATATTATTTAAAAAAAGTATTACTTGAAGTTTTGATTTTTCTAGGTTTGTTGTTTATATTGAAAAACTTGCTTTTTAAAGGAAATATATATTTTATATAACTTAACATAAATTTCTTAATTATGGACGGCGAATCAAATATAGAAAATAGTAATAATGACTTTTATATTATATTAATAAGAAAAAAGTGTTTAAATATAAATAAAAATTAAAACATTTCTAGAAGAAATCTTTATTTTGTGTCCCACAGAGCTTAGTTAATAGTCAAGACAGCTTTATAAAATTTTTCATTACAAGTTTTAACTCTGTTTACCTTGCAATTATGTATTAATACCTAATAATAGCATTACTGCAGATTGTAATTAATGACTAAAAAATGAAATGTTAATAGATTATAGATTAAAATCCAACCAAACCTAAGATTTGAGTTGAATGTTAAATTCATAGAGATTTAAATAAGTATGATTTTAAAATGTTTAACAAAAACAATGCATAATTTACATAGTTATTCAAATATCATCAAAATTTTCAGATATCTGTGTATTTATTATTGGTTACACTAAATTAAACAAATCATAAACTTCGTATTTGTAAATAGTGTACAAATTTTACCCTCTCCCCCCTCCCTACCCCATAACGGCCAATTTTTTCTTTTTTTCCTATACTGATTTGCGGCAGTTAGACATCTAGTTATTTCTAATATACCATTGGATTAACTACTAATTGTAATTATGAAAAAATCTTTAATAATTGTTTCTTGATGCAATGCTAAGAAAAGGGAACTTAATTCTATTAAGTTCCCTTTTCTTATATATTCTTTTCATTATTATTCTTAAAAAAAATCCAAGACTTTTTATTCGATTTTCAAAATTAATAGTTACTTTTCTTGAATTATATTGAGTGGGTGTTTGATAAAATATATAAAAATAAATTATATTAAAACATAATATAAATCATAACAATTGAATACGTTATCATAATTAAATATGATAACGTATTGAATTATTTTTTTAATTTTATTTTTCAATTTTTCAATTTTTATTTTGTTGCAGTTAAGTACTTTTATCTTGATTAGTCTTCTCAAGTGGTCAACACAACTTTTTTAGTTTGAGAGTACATCACAACTGTTTTAGTTTGAAAGTACAACACAACTGTTTTAGTTTGAAAGTACATCACAACTGTTTTAGTTTGAAAGTACAACACAACTGTTTTAGTTTGAAAGTACAACACAACTGTTTTAGTTTGAAAGTACAACACAACTGTTTTAGTTTGAAAGTACATCACAACTGTTTTAGTTTGAAAGTACATCACAACTGTTTTAGTTTGAAAGTACAACACAACTGTTTTAGTTTGAAAGTACAACACAACTGTTTTAGTTTGAAAGTACATCACAACTGTTTTAGTTTGAAAGTACAACACAACTGTTTTAGTTTGAAAGTACAACACAACTGTTTTAGTTTGAAAGTACAACACAACTGTTTTAGTTTGAAAGTACATCACAACTGTTTTAGTTTGAAAGTACAACACAACTGTTTTAGTTTGAAAGTACATCACAACTGTTTTAGTTTGAAAGTACAACACAACTGTTTTAGTTTGAAAGTACAACACAACTGTTTTAGTTTGAAAGTACAACACAACTGTTTTAGTTTGAAAGTACAACACAACTGTTTTAGTTTGAAAGTACATCACAACTGTTTTAGTTTGAAAGTACATCACAACTGTTTTAGTTTGAAAGTACAACACAACTGTTTTAGTTTGAAAGTACAACACAACTGTTTTAGTTTGAAAGTACATCACAACTGTTTTAGTTTGAAAGTACAACACAACTGTTTTAGTTTGAAAGTACAACACAACTGTTTTAGTTTGAAAGTACAACACAACTGTTTTACTTTGAAAGTACAACACAACTGTTTTACTTTGAAAGTACAACAAAACTGTTTTAGTTTGAAAGTGCTTCAGAAAATTGTTTTTTAAAAAGATTAAGCAGAAAAATACTAAAAGAACCGTTGTGTTTATCAACATTCAATTTATAAATTAACTTTACAAAAAGTTAAAAAGAGTAATAGCATAACTGTTCTTAATTTGATAAAAAAATAAACTAATTTTATTTAAAAGAAACATCGTACGCCTCAAATGGTGATGAGTCATAAAACACATCGACGATATATTTTTTTAATCTATTTACCTCGTTCCTAAAATCAATAAATTTAACAAATTTTCTTATTAGCTTAAGAGTAAATTTGTAAATTTTGTGCAGTTCGGTAAACATTTGTTGCAAACATATAATTGTAAATTCTTAACAAACGCTTTTCGGCAAAATAGCTTGGCTACTCAATTCAACTAGGCATATAACAAACAAACTCGGAAAAAAAAAAGCCGATATTTTAAATCAAATCCGATTGGTTGTTAGTGGCAAACCGAAAAACCTTTTAGATATTGGTATTTAATTTATGCAAACAAAGACTTAGAATTGAAAGTAATTTATTTATAAAGTTTACCGCCTCTGTTTTTTGATTGTTTACGGAATAATTTATTATTTCAATATGGCCGAATAAGTCCCGAGTATTCCAAAAAATGATACTAAATACCGAAAATAGTTTTTTAAATGGCGCTAAAAGTTATGATTATTCAAAAAAAAAAAACTAACACTACCATTAAAAAACTAACACTACCATTAGGTTATCTAAATCTAACGTGACATTATAGTTAAACATACTCATTTAGGTGTGGTATTTAAAATAGTAACTTCAA